AGGGGCGCCGCCGGCAGGACGATGGGGGAAACTTCTGCAGCTTCAGCAGCGGCGATCACCTCTTTGGTCCACCCAGCATGCTTCTCCCACCTCCTGTAGGCAGCGCCACTATGTAAACTGCAGAGTAGCGCTGTCTACATACAGAAGCAACACTTTGCCCCCCTTCCCCAAAATGCCGGGCTGTCCATGGAGTCACCTCAGGTGCGTGAGCGATACCTCCCGCCAGCTTCCTCATCACCCCTTCCTGGCCGCTGCTGTACTGATCAGCTAACCTGCGTGCGTTGTGAAAGTAGCATCGCCGGAGTAGATAAATACCCGTCGTGCAGTACAGACCCCATCCTCATCTCACTGCTGCCATCAGGCCTGACACGCTCCATCCAGAAAGAGGGAGAGCCCGAGCAGGGCCCTTCTCTCCAGGGCCCAGGGGATGTTTCATGGGACGGCTTCTGGGCTCTACACACTGACAGTGGTGTATGAGGGCAGCAACACTGCCTGCTTCCACTAAGGTGCAGGGCAATCTCTGAGGATATGTTTATCACTGAATGATTATCTGAAGGATACATATACACATGCTGTGGTGCATATGCCATGTGGTGCTGTGGTTAATTTGGGACCACATGATGTATACACATTTATGCAACTCCAAACACAAGACAAACCAAAATAGATCTGGATGCGCCTGTGGTGCTTCCTGTGTTTGAAGCCACATGAATGTGATTATACAGTGCGGTATATAAATGCATACATACCTCTAGGAAAAAAAACAATAATAGGTCTGAAAATAAACAAAAGCAAGAAAACTTAAAATAACACAAATTGTATGTATGTTCATCTTGCATGTCTACCTCTGGAACCGAACCATGGTGGGACCACTGGGAACTAGTGAAGCAAGAGGTCAGCACATCATTACTAGTATGTGCCCTTTCACTTTACATACAGACCAACATTGTGAGGACACATAGGTCCCTTTTATGATAAAATGTAGAAATAAAAGAGTGAATACTAACAGTAAAGTGCTTGCTTCAAAATAACACAACCACACACATAACCACATATAGTCCCTCTGTAATTACTTCAGAGAATAACATGAATCACGTGACTTATGATGAAATTGTCCATTGCACTTAGGAAAATCTAAACTCATCCTAAAACTGAACTCCGGGCAAACCACTAAGGACAAAATTGGGTTTGAGGCAAACAAAACCATTTGCAGTTAGCAGACTGGATGAGCTGATAATGGTATCTGAACTTAGGACAGGTGGCTTAGAATGGCTATAAATGAGGGCTTTCTTATGTGCTTGCTACTCACTATAAAAAGGCAGGCTTCCCAACAGCCATATTGAAAATGTGCTTAGGTGGGTTAGGGAAAGCATAGGTAAAGTGCATAAGGACAAATCAGTGTAGGAGTTGCAGGCACAACTGTATTCACATAGAAGTCACCCCTTTATTAATGCTTAAAGCTGTGTATCTTGGGGAATTTGGGGGTGAGAGAAGGAAAATATTTTCACACCTTAATCATGCTGATGTGCATCCTGCAGCTTCATTAAAGTCTTTCCATGTGCACTGTCTACAGATTGAATGTGTGTTTTTATAAGCTTTTTTTTCTGGTTACAAGTTATGTTTTAATGTGACCCTAAGTCAACATGCATTTAACTGCTAAGTGGCTACATGTGTATTTTCACAGGGCATATTTTCTATCTGTAGCTGCAATTTGTTTTTAAAGATTTTGTTGTAAAACAGTTGAATATTCCTTGGCAGTGTGCATCTGCACAGACGTTTATTTCTTATTTTGCAAAGACATGTGGGAGGGTGGTTTGCAGGCAGGAGATTGTGGAAGGCAGGGGCACACAGTCGTTACTCCATTCACATAAACTGCCCAAACAAGGACCCTTATATCAGTATTAGCAGCTGTTAGAGCTTATATAAGATTTTAGTGGTTGGGTTTACATATACTTTAACAAATTATGCTCAAATTCTTTGAATTACAGTGCCCTGCCTCTATGTACCTAGAGTTGAAATAATAGCAAACAATGGCAACAGTTTACCTTACTCTTCTAATACTCAGTTTTACTTATGCTAAACAGTCAAAAAGTCTCTTTTAGCCTTTCCACCTCAGGACTTGGGGTGCCCTGTGTGGCTATGACATCTGTTCTTATTTGTGTGTTACTAATGCTAGCTATTGGACTAGGGTAGGACAGGGGTGGCATCGACAATTGGTTGAGGAGTGCAGGAGGTATAAAGCTCACCTGATGGTCAGGGTAGGTGGCACACATGCTGGTTTTATTGAAAAGGCTATATGACGCTGAGGAGGGCCACACAGAGAAGGTCTCAAGAGTGGGGGTTAGGGGGGCTACAAAGGACAACTAAAACTGAAATTCCACTAATATGGGTGGTGCAATCCCTTGTTTTTCTCAACTATCCAATGAATGTCACTATTTAAATATGTCTTACGAATAGTGAACTATATTAGTATATTATTACAGTTAAGCTACTTGTTATATTTATATTCAATAACATTTAAACAAATTGTATACTAGGAAACAAAGTGATTACTAAAGAAGCTTACCATTCTTTCATTCACTTCACTAGTTTTGTGATCATAATCCCCCTGGAAAACAAAACAAGCTTTTGACCAAAAAGAATATCAAAGATTTACACACTAGAGCTCTATCATTTTGTAAAGAGTTGTATGGTCTAAACATGTAAAGCACTGTTAAAGGTAAAGTCCACCTTTTAGGAAAAAATGAAAATAAATGCACACTTCTTCATAAAAGAAAAAAAGAATGCATTTATTATTTTTTTGCATAGAAGCCAGTAAAGCAGCAGATTGTGGGTGCAATGCTCTGGCTCCTGCAGGTGTCCTCCTTCCCCTGGCCATGTCTGCACCCCAGTACGGATCTTCAGTAAAAAGGCCCCGAGGAAGAATGAATGCATTAGTGCAGTGACATCACGGTATTCCAATGAGAATTACAAGTCCCTCTGATGGAACTTGTTTCTCCATTCACAGGTTCTGTGACAAAATCTATGAATGGATGATGTGGCTGTATGGGTGGAGCTATGCACATAGGTTAGGACCCGGCATTACATTTCTTGAAGAGGCCCTCTGTATACATGTGAAGTATAATAAACACAATTTAGATCAAAGTTACTCCTCGGGTCAATACAAATTTGCAATTTTCAATAATTTTTTTGAATAATTTTCAGTATGGGTTTTCCCATCGTATCTTCCTTTTGTGATAAGCATAGTTTTCTGTGTATTAACAAATGTTGTAAACTGTTTGTACCCAACTAACATCAATATTTGTTGCATACCAATCAGCTTACACATGGGGGCCTAATTTACTAAATTGTGAAGTAAGGTTGAAACAAGCATCCAGTCATAGGAAAATTAATTGTGCTAAATAGAGTTTATTTTGCCCATGATTGCATGTTTGAAGTGCATACAGAATCACTTCACTGATTTCACACCAGGACAAAGCAACAGGTTCACTTAAATGGCACCCCCTTTCTGCACCTTTTCTTTACTCCCTTTCTGTTCTGTTTAGCCACTGGGAGACAAAGAGAAATATCTAGTACTTCCCAGCATAGAGAGCATGTGACTTACCATCATCCCACATGAGAACACTGGTTGTTGGTTATTGGCTGCTCGGGCACCCAGTGCTGTCACATTGGGGCTAGGTAACAGTCCTCAGACCTGTGTAAGCTCCAGGACATTATTCCTTTTTCCTTTCTGATTACTAAATAAAGCCTCAAAAAAGAAATGGAAGAGAAACATGTGCAGCTTGGTAGGGGGCATTTAAGTGAACATAGTGCATTGACCTGCATTCATTGAATCCCTAGGTTGATTTACTAAATATATTTTTATATGTTGTAAACATAATTTTTGGTAAGCATACTAAGAAATCCTAATTTATATATAGTTGCACACAATATAAAAAACTTACATCATGCAAAGGATAGGCAGATTCGTAGACATTATTCGCTATCAAAGTGGTAATACCTTGAAAACAAACAAGATACCATTAGATATTTAATACATTACATTTCATAGCGCACACTGCTGTAATGATCACAGACAGTTGGGGGAGCCTGAGCTTATGAGGCTGGACTAGGTTCAGGCTACCACTCAATATTCAAGTACAAAAAGATAATTGGCACTTCTGGATCTTGGCAAGTAACAAACAGATTAAAGTATACCTAAACTCCAGAACTAAAATGTAATATATTGCCACTCACCGATTCTTAGATGTGGTAGCTGCATTAGTTTTCAGGCTACAAACATTTCCAGCAAGTACAGAAAATACCTGCTAGTAATAGTGTTCTTGTCAATTCCCACTAGCTGGAAAGCCAACAAAAACAATGTTATCTTTTTCCATACACTACTAATAATAATATAGCCCTCATGTAGTAGAGATAAACAAAGGCAGACATGTTTTAAGTCTAGCCTGGGAGAAAACTATGGATGCCTCCATAGCTACAGATGAGAGGTGAGTGTGGCCAGCCAGATACAGGAAGTGTCTTACTCACTGGACCAGCAGGTGGAAAAAGTCTGAAAAAGGAAAACGCGCCCGTTGGCCGCCGAAAACTGTGGAGGGAGCCGAGAATAAAAAAAAAGCCTGCAGGCACTGCAGGGGGCAGCCTGGGGCCTCGGGCGCGAGGACCCAGCAGACAGCCGCCTGAGTACACGGGCGCGCTGAGACGGACACACACACGGGGTGGTTTTCTGCAGCCTCCCCACCAGGAAACATCCAGAGGAGGTGAAGGTAAGTTAATAAATAAAATCATTATTATTATTTTTTTAGCCCAATTGATGGTATTGCTGTATAAAGTATAGCTGGTATTTGTAGTTCTATATAGCAGGTCCCATTGGGGGGTGTGGAGTGGTTTGTGGGGGGGGGTTTTTGTGGGGTGAAAGGGGGCAAAAATAATTTTGCACTAGGGCCCTTTGTTCCCTAGGTCCGCCACTGCTGATACTATTGCTCCTTCAATAGTATCATCAGCAGCAGCAATGCAGAATGGCACCCTCTATAGAGGACTACAAATCTCAGCAGTACTTTATACAGCAATGCCATTTTTCCAACTTTTTTTGTGGTTGCTAAAAGGGATATGGGTTAGGGGGGTTTGTGGGGTTTTTTTTTTGGGGGGGAGCAAAATAATCTTGCACCAGGGCCCTTTGTTCCCTAGGTCCGCCACTGATACTATTGCTCCTTCAAGCAAACATAATGATGATGACTACATGTGCATCAATCAGCCATCTTACTGGATTCTCTACACCTACAGATTAATGTATAAGCAATTAACAAGCAGTTAGGGGGAGTTTATTGCTTTCTATACATTGCCCAGCTATGGGAAAGTTAGATCTGTAACTAAAATTAGCCCTTTGTATTGCTAAATTAAATGTAACACTGTTCCTTTTTTACTTTCCAACACTTGCCTCTTCCTTACAGCAAACTATAAATAGTAATAAGAGAAAAAAAAGCCTCACTCAGCAGAATCAGATTATATTCAGCCACACAGGTAGAGCTGGCCCATGTGTCCCTGTGTTACGCCAGCACCTTAACTGCCTTTGGATAGCCCAGCTCACAATTAGTAGGTGTAAAGCCAGTATAAATACAATTTGAAATAGGAGCAAAAATAATGGAAAGACCCACTATCCACTAAAATTACCTGCACGTATAATATTGTGTCAGCAAAAAATACTATTATTGGTCCAAGTACCCTGAACTACTGGAAAAAGTAATTTCTACATCATAAAATACTAGGCACAGGCATTCACAGTAATGTACACTTAGGAGAAAATCTTAATTTAGAAGGATTTTTCCAACTTAAAATGAATTGGTAGAAGAAAAGAACATACAGGAGGTTATGGTCAGAAATTTACGATGAATATAGTTTCTTCATCAATCCTAAACTAGTTTGTTTAATAGAGTATAATATCAATAGTGCACACAAACTGAACAATGAAATCAAAGTGTGTAGTGGATTTGAATGTTATAATGGAAAGTTGGATGGTAGATCGGTGTCAAGTATTTTTGACCATCCAGTTCTGGGACTTACACAGCTCAGTCACACAGTACAGTCCTGTCTGCCAGGAAAGGAGACCTGATTTAACCTGCTGCAGGTACGTAACACTAAGGGCAATATGTATTAAAGTTACACCCGGTGTATATACTGCCGGATGCCGTTCCCATGGCACTAGTGCCACTAGATGGTGCTGACAAGAATAGGAAATTCCTGTACTCGTCAGTGCCATGGAGGGACTCTAGTACCATGGGAATGGCATCCAGCAGGATATACACCAGGCAGAACTTTTATACATGAAGCTCTTAAAGGTCTCCCCCTGGAAGAGGCGTAACCAGAAATCACAGGGCCCTGTGATTTTTGTAAGGGGCCCTGTAATTTCCAGTTATGCCCTTGCAGAGCCCACCTGATGCCCTGTGATTTTCGTAAGGGGCCCTGTGATTTCTAGTTATGCCCTTGCAGAGCCCACCTGACATCCCAAACAGCCCACCTGACAGTGACCCTGCAGAGCCCGCCATAAACACTCTATGGTGGGCTCTGCAGGGTCTCAGGAGGGCTGCACACCTCTAACCTGTCAGCCCCTATCCGCTGTTCACCTCCATGGTCACTGACAGGCTCCACCTCCTCTGTCACTGGTTCCTGCCTCCTCTTCCGTCACTGGGCCCTGCCTCCTCTTCCGTCATCAGGCCCGCCTCCTCCAATGCTTCTGACGCCAGGCCCAGCCTTCCTCCTCCACAGCTGTTGGCTGTCACTGACAGGTTGTCGGTGATCTAACAGCGACACTTTCCTCCTCACAACCGCCAGTGACAGCCAGCAGCCTGAGATGCCATAGCGACCCAGGCGGCCTGCACGGCATCAGGGGGATGTCCTGGCCAGGCCCCCCTGTGCCCCGGGCCCCATAGCGTCCTCCTGGGTCGCTATGGCGATTGTTACGCCACTGCCTCCCGGACCCATGCTGTGACTGGACATTGAAAGAAAAAGCACCCAACTGATGAGCTCTCTGCCACTCTTCTCTTTCTTCTTATCAGCATGCTCCTTGTTAGCACATGAGTACTGCTGCACAAGTGATTGTTTCCTTGGCTGCTTCTCCCTCTCACAGTCTGAGTGCTGTAGTACTGCTAGAGGCTGATATAAAGCAGGTACTTACACTGTTTGCAATTCAAAATACATTTAACGATGTATCAAGATTGCAGAGCTGCATTCATTTTATATCTGCTGGAATTCTGTCTTAGATTTGTTTAGTACAAATTTGACAAATTATATACATAGAAGGATTTGGGTTTTGTGGGTAAAGCTGCAAAGGAAATATAATTGAAATGATATCCATTATTATTTTTTTCTCTTCATTTTAATTATATCTTCACTACCACACAAGAGTAACAGTATAAGTATTAATTGCCAGCTACAATAGAAGCAGCTAAAAATGTTAAAACTATCAAACAACATTATTTTTACCCTTTACAACACACACAAAACTAAAAAAAATCAAAAAGATATACCAAGTCAAGGTTATTGGGTAATACAAGGAAATTCCAAGTCCCTGATGGATTAAGCACGAAAGGATGCTTGGTAAACATATGGTAAAGTGACAACAGGACATGATCACAGTACATATTATACTTCAGGGAGTTGCGGAACACTATACATCCATCACAAACTGGGAAAGCTACAGATATACTATATAATCATATTACGGACAATCAGCACAATACCACATACAGTAATTACTAGCTATGGACTCTGAACACTAAAGACCTGACTGCTGGATGTGACCACAATATATCTTTATTCCACTGATAACAGACATACAGATATATAGACCTCATGCATTCAACATAACCTGTTTATTGTTTATAATAATTATAATTCAGTTAATATTTGACATTATTTACAGAAAGAGTACACTATGGGGTTGATTTACTAACCTTATAAACACGCCACGAACAAGTATACACCTCTGTAGTGTGTTCCCTCCCAGCATGATCAGCAGGTGTGTTGTGCAAAGCCCTGCATGAATTGCAAGGTGATGTTGTGTAAATTAGCTCTACATTGTGTTGCTTGCGTTGATGAATGCAGGAATGTAAATGCATGAGCTAACCATTTTTGTGTAAACTGTGAAGCAGCATTATATATGCTTCATGTGCATGATTTTTCCATATATGGCATTAGTGGAAATATGCTTTTAGAGACTTTTTGGTTGATAAATACGTTTTGCTGTGTAAAAAAAACACGCACCTAGTGCGTGCGTGTGTTTAGGTTAGTAAATCACCCCCTATATCTCCCAACATGACCCACCCACTTATTATAATTTCATACAATTCTATTATACTTTACATTAGAACACTACACCTCTCAATGCAACCTGTCCATTAATTTATGATTATAACACTTTTTTTTTACACTATATACAGTCATGGAACACTACATCTGACGTCCTATTCACACTGGACGATTTGGTATTTTTCAAGCAGGAACCTACATATTCCTGCAGCAGGAATCCCAGGTGTATCTGTTTAGATGCAGCAGCTGTACCTGTTCAAGTTAATGACTGGGTGATAGTAGCCATATCAGTGAGCGGCAGTTCACATGTAACCGTATATAATACAATTACATGTGTTTGGAATAGATGACTGTCGTTGGACGCATCTATCATCTATCATGCATCCAGGGACAGTGATCTATTCCAAACTGCATGTAATCATATCATACACAATTACAAGCGGACTGCCACTTACAGATGTGGCCACTGTCACCCAGTCATTAACTTGAAAGTGCACAGCAGCGGCAGTCAAACGGGGATACCTGCCATTTCTACCGCAGGAATCCGTAGGTTCTTGTGGCAGGAATGCCAGATCGCCCAGTGTGAACTAGGCCTAAGTCCCAACATGCCCTGTTAATGGACTATAATTACCATACAGCTATACAATGATGTTGTGTAAATTAGCTCTACATTGTGTTGCTTGCGTTGATGAATGCAGGAATGTAAATGCATGAGCTAACCATTTTTGTGTAAACTGTGAAGCAGCATTATATATGCTTCATGTGCATGATTTTTCCATATATGGCATTAGTGGAAATATGCTTTTAGAGACTTTTTGGTTGATAAATACGTTTTGCTGTGTAAAAAAAACACGCACCTAGTGCGTGCGTGTGTTTAGGTTAGTAAATCACCCCCTATATCTCCCAACATGACCCACCCACTTATTATAATTTCATACAATTCTATTATACTTTACATTAGAACACTACACCTCTCAATGCAACCTGTCCATTAATTTATGATTATAACACTTTTTTTTTACACTATATACAGTCATGGAACACTACATCTGACGTCCTATTCACACTGGACGATTTGGTATTTTTCAAGCAGGAACCTACATATTCCTGCAGCAGGAATCCCAGGTGTATCTGTTTAGATGCAGCAGCTGTACCTGTTCAAGTTAATGACTGGGTGATAGTAGCCATATCAGTGAGCGGCAGTTCACATGTAACCGTATATAATACAATTACATGTGTTTGGAATAGATGACTGTCGTTGGACGCATCTATCATCTATCATGCATCCAGGGACAGTGATCTATTCCAAACTGCATGTAATCATATCATACACAATTACAAGCGGACTGCCACTTACAGATGTGGCCACTGTCACCCAGTCATTAACTTGAAAGTGCACAGCAGCGGCAGTCAAACGGGGATACCTGCCATTTCTACCGCAGGAATCCGTAGGTTCTTGTGGCAGGAATGCCAGATCGCCCAGTGTGAACTAGGCCTAAGTCCCAACATGCCCTGTTAATGGACTATAATTACCATACAGCTATACAATTATTGTAATTGAAACAAAGTGAAGGAAACATGAAATTATAGAGTTGTCACCAAAGAAAGATGTAAGGTCTTGCAGTGGGGACACCTGTTCTGGTAATAACCGTATGAAAGGGAATTTCCTATACTATGTAGCGTTTCGTCTCACTTCCTGTTGCAACTTTGGGACAAGAAGTATGAGAACCTCTCCCCAGTGGCGTATATGTATAAAGCCACTAGCACTCCAATTGAATTTCAAGTCAAAAACGGTTTATTGACTCGATTGCTATCACATCATTATTTGGTCAGGAGTGCGATTGGTACACTGGATTTTCCTCTTCCCAGTGGGACACAGGTGACAGGTGAAAATATCTTGAAAAGGTTTTTAACCCTTCCCTACTCTATCTAAAGCTACAAAAGTTCCTAGCTATACATAAACTGTAAGGGAATAACCCTAACAACAGTAAAAATGCTGGCAAGGTACAAAAAGCTGTAAAAAATAAATAGAGATGGACGGGAATGGCATCAGAAGCAGGAGTCTTGAAGATCAGTGTTGTGCCCCAGCATTGCGCTAAACAGACCTCTAAGTCCATACCACATAAGTCAATCAGGCCATATTTAAAACCCAAACATGCCATGCTACAAGCAGATAAAACATTTTTTTCACTAGTGCTCAGGGAGCCACCGTCCATGAAACACATGGCATTACAATAATATTATTTCCCCTTATGGATAGGGCTATTTGCAAACATTTCACAGCCAGCATGGTTAAAAACTCTTCATCTCAGTGATTTAGTATATGCAAACATTGAACAATATATATCTCTACCATTTGCTTAAGGATTTGACAATGCTCACACAATAAATTCACTTCAATTACACAATCATGTGCAGATGAAATAAGTAAACAGAGATTTTCTTTTTATGTGATTGGGTGATTGAAGTGAATCTTTACTTATTTTATTGTGTAAACTTTGCCAAATCCTTTAGTAATTCAGCCTCAATGTTTTGGTAAAGGTCAGCCCTTAACTTAACCATAGCATATTCTAAATAATATAGGTATAACATTAACACATACCCATACTGTATTTGGCCTTTGTGCAAGACGTTCGCTTTAGAATTTCATGAACCTAAAACATAAATAAAATAGCAAACAATCAGATTCCTCTTTATATTTTCACTGGCTAACAAACGACAGTGGAGAGCTGCAGGGGGACTGTCCCGAAATTGGACACTATAAAAAATTAGTCTTAAAATGATTATTAAGAGTACCAAGAGCTGAATGGTGAGTCTGATTATATTAAATATCTCCTAAGCAATTTAAACCTCTATCTGCCTTAAGGAACCTGGCCTTGGGGCAGCAGAGAGAGTAAATCCAGCCCTGTAGATGCCCCACCTGAACTTGTCAGATCAAAGGCACCCCTTGGGTTACATGCATCAGACTTGGAGAAGCTCCTGTTTAAACTAGAGTTCTTGTACACAACAAGCATATCCCAGAAGCGGTAGAGGTGGCACCCTGACAGAAAAAAAAGCACACTGCTTGCAGCCATTGTGCTAGTACGGGATTGTCAGTCATCAGGAGAACTAGCACCTGGTTGCATTGTTACGTTGCTACGCTACCCATAACAAATATCTAACAGGCTAGATGAACACAAAGGAATGTGAAGTGTCGGAGCAAACAGCATGCTACATCAAACATGAGCACTTCATCTTTCAGACATACTTACTATTCGACTCCGCGTTGCATTGTCAAAAAATGTGTCTTTGTCTTTAATATTATACCTAAATATAAAAAAGAGCAGAGTTAATACCTAGAGAGTATACACTGTAGACAGCAATATATTATTTGTTCAAGATTTACATAATTGTAAACACTTCCATATTGAGACGATTAGGGAACTACCTATATATTAGTACAATAAGTATTTTTACTGGCCCTTGGAAACAAATTTGTAATCTGAGATTTTTACACTTCAGTTTTTACATGTTTGAGGGGTACAAGTATACGTAAAGCCAAAACCTTTATTCCTCTCTGCTTTGCATTGGAGTGTGGAAGGGTTAAAAGTAGGGATGCAGTTCCCTGGGATTCACAAAGTTTAGAACACTCACCTCTCTTGGGATCCAGCGTTGGGTCTCCCCTCCGGCAAATGTCTGCTGGCACTCCCTGATTTTACCTGCAGCCACAGCACTGTGATCAGTCAGTAGAAAGCTTCCAGTGACAGGGGTTTTCTTCTCACTTACTGTTGTGTCTTCACAAATCCTTCCAGTGGGATACAGACAGCAAAAAAATGAATGATGAATGAATGTAAGTTGAAGTGGGTGGGTCAGCAGTCTGAGATAATCAGGACTCCAGTTTTTGTCCAGTGCCATCAGTCTAATACTGTGGCCATGCTTACGGGTGAAAAGAGCTCCACCTTCACTTTCCAATTAACTGGCAGTGGGGGTCAGAAACAAAGATGTGTAGCTTAGGTGCATGAAAAAGTGAGGCCTTTGGCATGTCTTTGCTGTTTGGCAAACCTACCTAGACCATAGGTCAGACATGCTGATGAGAGCTGGATCAGAAGTTTGGTACATATTTAAATCGATATTGATATTTTAATGAAGAATCTGCTTTTTAAAGAGAATTATGAGGTATTTGAAATACACTCATCTCCATAATTCAAATTAACCTGTGACACTGAAGATGTCACAGGTCGGCTCTATTAATTGGAAACTCAGCGAACACGTACTGCCGATCTCTGACTTCCCGGTCTCCTCTCCCCTCTCCCTTTCAGTCACCACTCCCCGCAGGGATTCCCCCCTCCCCTCTCCGATTCTCCAGCGCTGACTGGAGGAATGGACTGGGCAGGGGGCAGGCACAACTGGCTATTCCTCTAGAGAGGCAATAGCCTGCTATATACTGAGTTCTGGGTCACATTAGGTCACATTCCAGAGGACATTAGTATATGTTCCCTTGTGACTCTGAAGAGAACTATGGCCAAATAGGGTTAGGCCATAGATCTTTTTTAAAGAGAAAGCCCTCAGAATATCAGTAGTAAGTTTTATAAAATGAAGACAGCATCAGGCATGCAGTTGACAGTCCAGTTACATTTCAATAAATTTTTACTCTGATACATAAACATTGAACTGGGCTGTTAACTATATATCTGGTGCTCTATTCATTCTACCAAACTTACTTGATCACGGGACTGACCGTACAGAATTACTCATCCTCCTGCAACTGAAATGATTCATATTTAAATATTTATATCATGTGTTCTGCTTTCAAAATTGACCAAAAGATGGAAAGAGTCTTTAACCTCTACAGTGCCCGATATTGTTTCTAAATTAAATAAATCTTTTCACAACCAAAAATGTGAAAATTGTCCAAATATGAGATTTTTATGATCTCACTGAGAAAGGTTAACATTGAAATGCTGGTATAAAGTATATTTTCTATGTGACTAAGGCAACTATTTCATCTTATTTCACATATTCTTTGAGTTAGGATAATTCAAACCATCCTGATGGTTTGTCTCCTCGGATTTTGTAGGAGGATAAGGCCTCTCGGTACTCACAGATGCATTTTGTCTCTGGAGAACGGATAAGACAAAGGTTTCATCTTTGCGTTTTCAAATATTTGTGGCACGTTGGGCTGTAAAGGCTTTGTACATTTGTTCCATATCGCATTTAATTTGACCATGATGCCACTTCCTTGTTTTACTTCATACATCTGAGGGACAAAATAAAGAAAATTCATTACCATCAGCATGCCATTGAAAACATGAATTGCACAGTGTATCTCCAGCCATAAATTTGTTTTACTTTTGGATAGTGTGGAGAAGGATTAGAACCCTGTTATGTTATCTGTTATCACCAGTACAGGAAGTGATGGGTCATTTCCAAAAGGGACATAGACAGCAATGGAAACACTTTGTAGTAGAGCATGGGAAGGTTAGAATCCCGTTCAGCTTTTTATTGATATATTATATATATATATGCTCCCTTTAGACATTTTCCCTCACTTGCTGTCCCACTGTCACCAGACAAGAAGTGAGGAGCTGTTGGATTGCAGCATCCTGAATAGCCTGTATGGGCTAAGCCTGGATTTCTGAGGATTTATTTTATTATTTTGTTCAGCCCTGCAGGATGAATGAGGGAAGTCACTCAACTGCCCCAATGACGCTCTTCAGCTCTGATGGCTTTTGTGTTCATTCAGCCACAGCACCCGCGGCTGTCTGATTACCTGAACAGTGACTGCATTTCACAGGATGCAGTCCGTGCTCAGGTGACAATTTTCCACCTGGCACTTTAGATTTTGAAATCAGACTTTTGTCATGTGGGGAGGTGCGGAATTTGAGCCATGTATGGCTGGCTTAAGAGTTGTAGCCAGCTACACAAATGCATAAATATTTTTTTAATAATGACTAATACCTTCTTGGCTGTTTTTCCTGTCTCCTAGGCATAAACCAGCAGTCATCGCTCGCAGTGCAGGGGCAGCCTCACTGCAAGGGAAAACGTTTCATTTCTCTGGAGTTTGGCTTTAAATTGGAAGTAGGTTAACGATATACAGTACCCTTGGTAGAACCACATGCATTTTAAATGAGTACCCCACCCTAATTAGAGTACATTCTCCACCTACAATGACTTGCTGCACACACAGCAAAAATGTTGGCAACTATGCTATTCACATTTTTCTGGGCCGTTGCGGTGTATTCATTGTGTTAAGGCAGCTCATTCATTATGAACAATTATTAAAAAAATGGGCTTGACCTTGACAGCAAGTGGGTTGTGGTGCGCTGCAATGCAGGTGCATTGCCCACTTCTGTAGAGTGCATTTCCATAGTGCACCATGCACCAGTGTAATTGGGCTCTTCTCCACTCTATCCATAACTAAAAAAAGTTTTGGCTGGTTTATAAAAAGAAAAAAAAACCTGGTGGTTCTGGGTATGGCGGAATACAGAATCCTCCCTCTGCTTCCCGCATTGCAATCTGAGCAGCCAATCACCAGGCCCTAGCAATGCTGGGTGAGTGGCCATAGATTGCCTTGAATATGGAGCAATGGGGGAGCACTGCCAAGGTGAACATTGGTAGCTGGGAGGTGGCCTTTTTGCAAGCACGTTGTCACTTATATTTTCTATAAAAGAGCAGACTTTTATTTTCTCGGATAGGGAAATAATATTTTCGAAATCCCCCTGCTTCCCAAGTTTTTTTGATCCTGCCAATGCTGCTAGGATTAAAAAATTTCCTGCGGAGGGCTGTCAACTATACTATGTTGCTGCTGAATTTGCAGCAGCATTGTCAGGCTTTCCACTTTGTGTCTCGCCCCTGCAGTAAGCAGTGATTGCAATGCGCTGGCTCTTCTATAACCCTAAAGGCACTTGCTGCCACCAGGGATCCTCACCGCCTTTCGTGCTCCTCACTGCCTCCAAGGCTCCTCACTGCCTCCCAGTCTTGCTTCAGCAATCAGTAGTGGCAGAGAGCTGTAGCTGTACAGCACTGCTTCTGGTAGCAATTAGGCCTTTAATCTTTTTTCCCCTATGTCCTTCCTAAGCTGTGAATAAAACTTCTTTTATAGATATAATGTGATGGTAAAAAGGTAGGAAGGCCTTTATGGTATTCTTATCAGGGCTGTCACCTCATAAAAGAGATACAAAATAAAGGGATTTAGTATTATATTTTATTAAAAGGCATGGATAGTAAAGCAGGGATGGCAGAGTATTAATGCAGCATTAAATGTATTTTTTAAATGCAATCAGTGTAAGTACCAATATATGACCTGGTAATAGCCGCTGTACAGCAGAGTTCAGATTGCAAGAGGGAGAAGCAGGACAGGGAGCCAATCAGTTGTGCTGCATTATTCACGTGCTAATAAGGAACAGGTTGATAGGAGGTGAGTACAGAGTGACAGAGAGACATGCTCATCAGTTTGATGCTTCTCGTTCCACTGTCTAGTCACAGGCTGGGGGAGGGACAAGACCTGTAATTGTTACTTAACTGCAGCAGAGAATAATCAGGTCAGGTCTGTGTAGTCTGGAAGAGCTGTGCAAGTAGTTTTCAAAGGATGTCACTAGTACATCATTCTGAGCCTGATGAAGGGGACCCTGTGTGGCCCCGAAAGTGCTTGCATTTGAATGATTATTGTTTTTCAATAAATGGACTTTTGCTGATTACACAAATATTATTGTGTGCTGGTGACATCCTTTGAAAACTACATGTATACCACGGCGCCATCCGTGGTCACTACTAGCACCACTGCATCTTGCAGGTCATCAATCCCGGTGAGGACTGCAGCAATACATCTTCTGTTATGCAGAGCTTTGCAATTCTTGGGGCTTGATAGACAGAAATTCATATAATTTCACATTTTAACATCCCCCACATATGTATATTATCTGTGTATTAAGCTGATTGTCTGTAGTTCAGCTTCAGATTAATACATAATTAATATGTTATTTAGTCCAAATAAACATACCTTCTTTGTGGGCACTTTGATTTTAAGGAATTCTGCTTCACGACTTAACACCTGCCATGGCGCATGAATCCTTACGAAGTTCAGACCCTGAATCTTGTTCTAAAACAGAAGAAAAGCAAATGTAATTACTAATTAGACTCTATCTAAAAGTAAATAATAGTTACATTATTTCACTTTCAATAAATCTTTATTGAACATTTAGATTAACAAGTACATATAGCTATAATAAACACTTACGTCTCCTAGGTAACAAACAGTGCAGGATAATAATTACATTTTCATTCATAGTTCAAAAATTTAGCAATAGCCTACAAAGCAGAACTCCAGTTGTGTTGAGAAAAAAGTCCGCTTTAGTTGAACTACACACATTGCAAGGATTTAGGGAAACTTTATTTTAGGGTCTTGACTGCTTCTGTTCTGGAGATAGGTAGACATTGCAAGTGCTTTCTAATTTGGTGGGTTGATCCCCCTCATCGGTCTAAGGGGGCATGTGTTAAGCAAATAAGGGGCACAATTTGAGTCAAATCAGGCCGCCTCTCAGTTCACAAATTTTATGCAACGTTTTTGTTTTGTTTTTTCTACATTTGCGACCCCTTCACCTACAATTATGGGCAGCCAACTGAGACAATTTTGCACAGGTTTGCACCAAATGTAGATGCAATGTTTTATCAAATCTGTCTGCAATCTGTACCATTTGCTTCTTTTTAGCATTGCCTTGCTGTGCAACAGCCTTGATACATGTTCCCCTTGATTTTGTGATAGAAAATTTTGCCATTTCAGGGATAGGCAACCATGGCACTCCAGCTAGGATGAATCTACAAATCCCAGGAGCCATTGCAAGGCTCTCAACAGCCACAGGCATGCTTCCCAGAGGCAGAAGCATGATGTTTTCCCCCCCCCATTATGTCTGTTGAGCTACACACCATATACACAATTGAAACAGGGCACATAGAAAACAATTGTTTTCCATGTGCCTTGTTCACACTATACATGTGCCATGGTGTGCAGAAAAATGCAGCTCAACAGACATAGTTGTCTGTTGAGAAGAACTTCTCCTGAAGAACCCTACCTAGCAGCGGGCACGAGCGGGGCGGGATGGGACGTTTAAAAACGCCCACCCGCATTCAAGAAGCCACTGTCCAGCCATTTAATTACAACGGCCGGACAGCAGGTGGTTAAAATAAAGTGCACTTATCCTTTTTGCTCCTTTGCCCTGAGCTAACCAATCCCACACTTCTCCTCCACAGATGTACAGTTGCTGAGTTCGGACTGTCATGACCTCTGTTTATTTACATGCCACACCACAAGTCTTCTCTCACCTGGTGTCTTCACCTGGCCAGGAGATGAAGGTAGATGAACTCCGTAGACTTCAAACTACTATTTAACTTTCAGCACTTACTGAGCATTAAAACTGAAATATAACCTCCTATCCCCTACAACCAAGGAAGGTGCCATCTTAGCCTTTATTTGGATTGAAGTTACAATGGTGCTGCACATGTGATCACCTTTGACCATTTGACGGCTTGAAAGTTGAGAGCTGAAATAAGCAAACTGGCAACCTTGACAGTTGGCAAGGCTTAAAAGTACAGTATACTCCTAGCTATCCGGCACCCATGGGGACGGGACCGGATAGCTGTAGTTTCTGGTAGCTTGAGAGTTAATAGTAACTCTTAAGCAACCCCCCTTGAGGTTTCAATAGCCAGCCTGCTACTGGCTTATGCATTTGAAATAGCCAATAGCAGGCTGGCTATTGACCCCCCCCCCCCCCCCCCAGTTTACATTCTGCTGCAGACTGCATCATCTAGCCGGCAGCAAGAGGTCAAGCAAGAATTTCGTTAGCAACAAAATAAATTTAGTTGCTAATGAAATGTTTAGTGTGCATGAAGGAACCAACAATATTTTAGTGTGCATCAAGCCACTGGCAAAAAATAAATAAATGGAGGACATATTATATCCTTGATTTTTTCTGCTGAATGCTTGAGAGTGCTGGCTGCTTGAATGCCGGATAATGGGGAGTTTACTGTAACTGTTTTGGGAGACCATTAAATTGGTGTGTGATGTTCCTCTTTAATGTCTCGTCAGTAAAGGAGGGGCTGAGGTGGGCAGCATTGTTGGGCTATGTTTAGGGTATCAGTTGCCCTAATCTAGCTCTGCTTGACGCTTACACAGGGCTTCCTGCCTTCACTCAGTGGAGTAACAGGGGAGTGAAAGTAAGGTGTGTATGTGCGGCTGGGGAGGGAAAAAGACAAAGTAGATATAAACTTAATCAATAAAAACTAATCAAAAACTAGAAAACCCAGAAAGGCAATCTAGAGCAATGATGAGCAGCCACCGCTGTAGTAGACAGGATGACAGGAAATGGCTGCAGGAGATCAGCAGCACTGAGATGAAACAAAGGTGAAATTGATATTGTAATTAATAGGTGGCGTTTCTTTATGATACACAGTGCTTTAACAAATGATACTGTATGTCATTCGGTTAGCGGGTTCATATTCATGAAGATTGGACAATAAAAGAATGTGATACATTTCTGGGAGCAACAAAAACACCTTTTAATAAGGCACATTTTACAAAGAAGCCCACAGTCACAACTACGAGTACATGAAGACCAAAATAAAAGCCAGCTCATGATTGGTTGCTATGGTTTAGGCCAAAGATGCACAATTAAGTCAAATAACTCTTCCAGAGATCTCGCTAAAGCTCTGTGAAACGTTTCCCGGTCTAGAGGGAGCAGAAAGAAGTTTCATCTTGAAATGTGAGAGATATTAAATTGATTAGCTGATCGTGGCTTGGTATGTTATTCTTTTGGCACAGCGCCCTCAATGCCATAGGGAACTAGTGATGAGGGAGTTGACTACGCAAGTAGCTTGGCAGCATGTAAATGTAAATAGATGAATGTGCAACCTAAGACACAACAATGTGCATGTAAAACCTTCAGTCACTATGAGGTGGCACAATGCTACAAGACATGGTAGGGACAGATAAACCCTTTAACAGCAACTAGTCCTTTGCTGAGTGGATCACATTATGATCTTTTGACCTATTATATATTGCTGTAAAGATCTGCACAGTTTTGGATTGAACTTCTCAAAAATCATCAAGGTGTCATATAGGTTGAGTCCTGTCTGCCAACTCACTGACATTATAGCTAGGGATGCACCGATGCCAATACTAGTATCAGTATTTGTGCCGATACCAAGTATTTGGGTGAGTACTCGTACTCACCAAAATGCTCCGATGCCTAGCCCGATACCCGAACTTCCGGTATCAGGAAGCTGTGTAATGACTCGCTGGCTAGCTTACTGGTTGGTCGAGAAGCTGGCCAATCAGGAAGCCAGGCGGCTAGTCATTACCTGCCCCGGTTTCGTGATTGGCCAAAAAGCCGTCTCCATGCTTCCTCGTCACCTCGTGGAGACGGCTTCCCTGCTAATCGGGAAGCCTGGTGGCGAGTCTTTACATGCTGCCCAGCTTCCTGACTATTCAGGAAGCCAGGTGGCAGGTCATTACACGCCACCTGGCTTACGTAATGGGACTTCTGGTATCGGTATTCGGTATCGGTGAGTACCGGGAAAAAAATATTAGTGCTTGATACCGAAAAATCAGTATTGATGCATCCCTAATCATAGCCATCTCGCCACAACTGTAAGTTACAGATATTACACTTTCAATACTGGGACTGGGAGTAAGAACAGTTTTTCAGGATCTATATCTGTCCAGGTGGCCATTGTCTCCTGGAGGGGAAATCTCCCAATGGGGACACTGTTCCAGATTCCTCCACCTTTTGGGGAGTTTTTTCCTCATTTGCTGTTGTCTCCCGGACAGAAAGTGAGGGGTAACCTGTGGTAAAAAATGAAACGGGTCATAACCCTTCCTTACTCTATGCAAAACTAAAAGCAAGTCTTGGCATTAAATATACCTTAATGGAAAGCCTCTAGGTTTTTATCTCTTTTTAGGTTAAATTTCACATTAATAACTATGGAAGATGGGAAAATAAATTCATATAATCACAGTATTCAAAAGGTATATTCTGATTTGTACCACATATAAAGCTTCGTATCCTGCACTTTCTGACCAGCAAATTCATAATATTTATATTGGGAGAGTATGCTGGTATGTGCAGATTCAAGGAATAAAATGAAGCATAAAAAGGGCCATATATTTTTATTCTATTCCGTGCTTTTCAAGGCACCATTCCGCTTCCAGAACAATTATGGTTTATTTTCCGTCTAATAAAATTCACTCTGCCGATAAAACAAAGTGTTTTGGATAACATTTTACTGCAAAAGTGCCACAAAAAACTGTTATTAATGAGCAGTCTGTATATTTAGATTTCATCTTCCTTTTCATTTACAATTTTTTTAGTGGCTGTGAAATTTGAATGAAAAGTTCACAGTTCTATTCTTATTTCCTGAGTTTGCATAGCTCCATCATATTTTTCAGCATTTTACAGTTTTTTTCATATTTTCTATCTGTTACGATTCTCATTTTCACACCTTTTCTTTACAGTGCTTACAATTCTTCATTTTGCTGGGTGTCTCTGATGTTTCACATGAAACAAGTGTAGCAACCCCCTAAACCCCATAGTCATGTGAGGGAGCCCAGAGGCAGGGTGAGCAGACATGTCACCTCTGGGATAAGTCACTAGCTGGTTGTGGGATGCAGTCACTTTAAGGGTTTTCATACCAGATCAGTTGGCATCCATTTTTCAAAAGATGCCAACACAAGAACATCTGAAAATGAATGGGTGTGAATGAGAGCAATTCACACAAGTGCATTGCGTTGCACTGAACTGCCCTCCCCTGAAAAAAGTAGAGCAGGCTCAACATAATGGACTGGTCTGAACTGCTAAGGCACGTTAATTCAAGGCAGTAACAATACTTTATATAGCTTAGTGTAAAGATCAAACCAAAAAAAAAGCATTCCTCCGCTGACCTGCATATTTGATGTAAATGCACCTTGAAACTGATTGCAGTAACACTGTGTATTGTAGAGGGTTAGCAGACATAGCACAAAACTCTGTGGGTGAGACACCAGACTTCCCGTGAGGTCCAAGCCCAATCTTGGCTTCTCTGGTGCCTCCAGCAGATTAAGTTCCTCCC